TGTAGCTGAACTTGTGGACCAAATATTGTATGAAACCGATGCAAAGAAAATAGTGGGTGCCTTGTTTCTTGATCAGAAAAAGACATTTGGCACTCTAAACCATGATATTTTATTAAGGAAACTAGATCAATATGGTATCAAGGGCACTGTAAATAGCATTATCCGTTGCTATTTGAGCAACAGAAGTCAATATGTTGCGTATGATTGAGAAATTTGTTCTAGAAGAGAAATTAGTACTGGAGTTCCACAGGGGAGTAAGATTGGCCCTTAACTTTTCCTTGTCTACATCAACGATATAATTAAAATTAATCTTTCTGGAACTCTTAGGTTATTTGCTGACGACACGACTTTAGTTTACGCACAGATAAATTTAAATATAATTGGTTCAAATTCAATTTACAAAGGATTTACGGTTGCTGCAAGATTATTTCTCAGTCAATCTCCTCTCATTAAACTTGCAAAAAAAAAACCAAGAATATGATCTTTCGATCACCAAGGAAAATTCTTCCACAAGCATCAATATTAGCTATGAACGCTGACATTATCGAGAAAGTTGACTACTTCAAATATCTGGGAATCTATTTAGATTCTATTTTATTTTGGATTTACCACATAAACAAGGTTGCAAGTAATGTTTCGTCTATGTATGGAATTTTGAGACGTGTTAGTAACTTTCTTCCTCGAAAAGCTATACTTCTCTTATATTTTGCGCATATTCATCCTTATTCATGGGGCAGTGCTAGTAAGTCAGAATTGGAAAAAAAAAACTCAAAACTTTACAAAACCGGTGTCTTAAAATCATTTATAAATTACCATTCTTACACCTATCAATTCAATTATACACCAATTTCTCCCACAAAATATTGGGTTATGAGAAGAGCAAACTTTGCTAATGGTTAAGAATATTGTACATAGCCCACAAAGGATAGATAACCTTGCTATGGATACGTTACTCCGGTTTTACAATACCAGACAAATTTACCATGTTTCAAGATATCTTTTATAGGTACTACCAAATTTAATAACCTACCAAGAGATCATCAAGAAACAACAAATATTTTGTCCTTCAAAACTAAGATTAAATGTTTCTTGAAAGAGCATCCATTAAGTACATCACGCAAAATTCTGGAAAAAATGTTTTCATGTTTTCGTAGCGTAATATCCGTAATTAATCCAATGCACTTCAACAAGCTCGATGAAACGAAGAAAAATTGCATATGTAAATAGGCAAATTACTGGTTAACTGATTGGCTTCTGACCGACATAAAAATACTAGTTAAAAATCATTTGAAAAGCCCCCTGTAGAGCTGGTCGAAAAAAAGAATAACCCCATTACCTTGACAATTGACAATTTGCCTTGTCGGCCACTCTGTAACTCTTTACTCCTATTGTAAAATCCCTTCAGCAACCGTTAGTCTGTACGCGAAATCTGATGGACATTTCCTCATATTTTCACTCCTATGAAAATCCCATAAGATACTGTCAATCTTTGCGTGAAGAGACGGCGGCTCGCTGATATCATGGTGGAGTGAAGATATAAGACAAAGTCCACTCGATTTTAAGCACAGATGTTTATGGGATTTTACCATAGGAGTAAAAAGTTGTAGCATAGAAGTAACTCTAAGACCAGAAGGGTCCGAAGAAACGTGCTCAACTTTTTGGCTCAGCTCTGGTACTCTCTTCGGTCCCAAGCTAATAGACGAACCCCTCATTTTATCTGTCAAACTTTCATAGCGAATCAAAACAAACATAGTGTAGTACTAGAATGTTGACTAGAATGGGGTACGTTAATCGATTTGCTTGGGACTAATAGGCTAGTCAAGTAGTTAGCCAATTTAAAATCGTTAGTGTCCACCGGTTGTAGAGTTGCCGACAAGGTCAATGCTTACTGAGCATGAAACAATATATCAGCTCTTCTTTCATAAAGGCCAATTTTTCAAACGAAAACAATTAATTTTCCACGAATGTTTCAAGAATGAAAACTCGCTCAAGTAAACATCTACGATGATTTGTAGGATTGAATTTGAATTACGAGAAATTTACGAAAGAATCCAAATGCGACATTGGCCCTTATGAACGCTCTGTATCGATAATATCACGAATATTTTGTTTGACAAATCGATTCCAACTTTACCAGGCAACACTTTTAATCTAGTTAACTTTAATTTACTAAGGTAATACAAAAAAGGAAACATCTTTTAGTTAGTTTTTTTTTTTTGCATGAAGTTTCACATATGTTATGACATCGGGTTCTCCCTTGGTGGAGAAATTCGTTCGGCTGACTTCCAATTTCTCCCTCGTTCGTTCTACATGCTGTCAGCTCCGAGTCTACGTGTAAATTCTGTGGGTGGCTTTGATCCATTTGGTATTTTTTTTTTCTTATATGGCACTTCGAAAATAAATTAATATGTTCGAAAATCTCTCTGTTTGTTGATCAGCCGATTTTTGAGAAAGTTTCTGTCAAAATTGGTTCCTTGTCTGTCAGAAATAAGTCTGCTAGAATAGCAGGTTTATTTGACAACTTTCCATCTGTCAACATTTAGTGATAACTCACCAAATAGAACACAGCCTTAGTTGGAAGAATTTTCACTCGTTCAACCATCTGAGGAAGGCTATTTTGTTTCTGTGGTGCTCGCGAGAGTGAATGAATTTGCTTACTCAAATGCACGAATTTTCAGGGTTGTTTTTATTCAACATTCAGGTGATAGTGAGCAGAATATGAAATGCAACTATTTTATGTTACACAAGAAAGGCCCGTACTGAGTACCAATACCACCGATTCCAACTATTTTATGTTACACGAGAAAGGCCCGTACTGAGTACCAATACAACCGATTCCAGGGAGGCAACTCTCACACCTGGACCCTAACCTATCGACCCATCAATTCATGGACCGGGAACCAACGGCTTTACTTCCCTTCCGAAGGAAGGCGTGATCAGAGATTTTATGTTTCAGATAATCCCGGCGACACCTACTGGGATTGAACCCAGCCCTTTTGGGGTGAGAGGCAATCACGCTTACCACTACACCACTGACGTCGCTAGTAAATCATCTCGTGGAGGTTTTATACGAAAATATTAATTCTAGAAATGTTCATCCAAGCCGGATTTAACTCTCGAACGGGTTTTTACAAAAAATGGAATGTTTCTATCAAAGATGACTTCCAAATTTACTAAACTTTACAAAAATGTATTGGCTAGCAGCACTTCTTTTGATTTTGAGGAGCATGGATGTAAATATTCTTATATACTTTTTTTGTAGCTTTTGAACTAAACTATAGTACCAATTGTATGATTAGGACTGTTCCCGTACATGCTTTTATACTTTTGATGTAGGTTGCTGCAGCTTTCTGTAAGTTGCTGTAAGAAGATAATACATATGGTGCAGCAAGTACGCGAACATGCTTTTGCTTATTTCTGTACAGAAAAGCAAGTACGAGAACAGACCTATTGGCATAAAGTCGCCCAAATAATATGAGCCACCCACAATTATGAGTCAATTCCATTTTTTAAACACGTAGAACTGAGTGACTCATAATAGTGACTAACTGGCCCATAATACTGGGGTGACTATATTTTATGTTTCTGCTCGATAAGACGGAAATGGGCGCATATGCCGAAGTAGTTCTCTACGCTACTGTACAACTAGTAGTGTACAACAGTAGTGTAAGTAATGGCACATTTGTTAAAAACAGCACGTACTTACATTTGATGTTCTTGCCATTTGTTTTGCATTTTGCCTAGTTTTACCGCCTCTAGGTGATCCTAGATGTCCATTCTCATGCCTTCTGTTATATACTGAACTAGTCAGAAAGCTTTGATTGGCTTTCATTGATACAGAACCATCTGTTTTTTAGAGTTTGGTTTAACGTGCGTTACCAAAGCCGATAATACCTACATACGTTTGCATTTTATGTCGTCAGTAATCAATTTAATAATCAATTCAAATGTGTAATTTTCGGGAAACGTCAAACGAAATTAAAAAAAACACAAAAAACACCATTTGCCTCCTCACTTCCGGCTTTCATGTGAGAGTATACGATATGAAGCTGCACAGAAGCATACCGACAAAACTCGATGAACATTTCAAATGGTCCTATCTGCTTTGATCGATTATCTTCATCGACTTTCTCTTGTGATGGCCACTGTTATGCAAACAGATTTCACACTAATTTTACCACATAGTTTGATAAAGGAGGTTCTTATCTAGCGTCCAAAACGTCAAATACAACAGGGAAAGGTTTTGCAACTGAGTTAGAGAAAGTCGACGAAGAGATTCGATCAATGCAGATAGGACCATTTGAAATGTTCATCGAGTTTTGTCGGTATGCTTCTGTGCAGCTTCATATCGTATACTCTCACATGAAAGCCGGAAGTGAGGAAGGCAAATGGTGTTTTTTGTGTTTTTTTTAATTTCGTTTGACGTTTCCCGAAAATTACACATTTGAATTGATTATTAAATTGATTACTGACGACATAAAATGCAAACGTATGTAGGTATTATCGGCTTTGGTAACGCACGTTAAACCAAACTCTAAAAAACAGATGGTTCTGTATCAATGAAAGCCAATCAAAAAAACATTTTGAAATGTTTATCTAGAAAATTTGAATTTAAATGACGCATCACGTGAAAACTGATTGCATACGTTGATGGCCAATATCACAGGACATTCCAGTTAGAACTTTTCCATACAACCATCATCAGGGTGAACTAAGAGCAAAAAAAATTTCCTTTGTCAAAACAATCAAGTTCAAAATTCGATCTCAATAGTTTTAAATACAAGCTTTGCTCAGTGATTTTATAGTTTGACACTCACTTTATTTTGCCTCAACGCTAGCCATATGACTTTATTCAAACATATGGGAACCGGTACAAAGCATCTGTTGAAAATCAATCATGAATAAATAAACAAGTTTCAAACGAAAATACCTGGCTCTGTGACGATGGACAAATGATGAGATTGATTAACATTCCCTTGACATGAACGTGCAATACTCACCCATGCAGGCAAATCGCCGAGTCGCGCTAGGATGACCTCTTTATCGTTGGCCAACGCCGACGCTTTTGCAACATTGCGACGCGTTTCGTTCTTCGTTCGCCACTGCTCGCGGGCCACCGACAGGATGACCGGCGTTATAAGCCATGCCACCGACCATCCCATATAACCGACAAAGTAGATTATACCTACTGTCACCACTTTCTTCGCGAAGGAGTACACCAGAGAGCTTATATCGTCGCCAGTGCTGTGTATGGGTGTATTTTCCGCTTCAACCTTTTCCGGATTTTGCTCCTTGCTGGCGCCAGTCATTTCGACGTTGTTTGTTGACCCAGTTTCACCCAACAGGCTATCAACCTCACTGGCCGGGATGGAAGAGTTGGAATACTCTCCAGCGTCACTTATCCCACTTGTAGTATCACTATTCGAATCAAATATACAAGTCGGAATTTTTTTATGACTCAAGGTGATAATTTAATAAAGCTCGGTAGAGCAAACTAGAACATGCACGACTATTTCTACACTATACTGATGGGTGATCTAATCTTTATGCAACGAGAGATGGAGCAAAAATGAAGTCACAGCACAGCACGACGCACACAAATCATAGAATCGGAATCTGTTTCGCATGAAAACAAACCTCATTTTCTCTCACTGCTGGATGCTCTCCCAGTGGATTGGGATTTTTCTCTCGGAAGTCGAATTCCGATTTCAAAAACGATCGCCAATATTTCCAATATGTTTACTTACTAAACATTGATAGCATCTGAACTGAAAATATAAAACATAATCAAAGCGATAAGGCGTAAACTTAAATCACAAACCGCCTAACAAAATAATCCTGAATTCGAAAGCAAAAATCACCTGTTGTCGCAATGAATAGCACTAAACGTATGACTAGTATTGAAAATCGTAGCAATTTCAAGAAATTATTTATGAATAACAGTGAATTCACGGCGCACGAATGTGTGTGTGTGTGTGTGTGTGTGTGTGTGTGTGTGTGTGTATAGTGTGATGAGGTGGCCAGCAAATGCCGGACGATGGTTCAAGGGTTGTGATGTGTGATGTTTATCCCCACGACTTGATGTAAGCGTCTAGCGTAAATATGTGTGCAATACTTAAAACGTGCTAAAAATAGAAAATGAGAGAATACGAAAAATTCAAATCAAAATAAAACACGAAAAAACTTCAACAACGAATAATGCGGCTGTCGAAAACGCTGATTGGAACCGCAGAGTGAAATGGAACAGACAAAAAGGGATCGAAATGTGAACCAAAAATTTCTGGTGGTAGTTTGCTACCGTATGTTAAACAGGAGAGGACTTGCTAAGTGGAGGCGGTTGAGGTGATTCACAATATTAAAATGAAAAACCTATTAAGTCCCGGACATATGCCACGTAGACCAATAGACATTATTCAGAGATGATAAGCTTACAGAGCAAGGATGATTTGAGCAAAAACGTTTACTTTCTCATCTTCAAATGGTCAATGGTATGTTAAGTTGCTTCAGCTCAATTTTGATAGAACGATATTATTGCTCAGTGTTAAGCAAAAGGATTATTTTGAATTATGATTGGATTCATTGCGTTCTCTGTACTTCAACCCCCTGCCCCCACTGCTCTTTCGGTTTGCATTGAGGTTTCCAATGACTGTGCCAAATTTGGACGATTTTGGTATCGATCTGGATTTGCAGCTTGGAAATGAAAAGAATATAATATTCATTTGCTTGTTATAATGCTTCTCCTATTGCAATATTGTACATATAGGGGAAATGGATGTAATGTCGGCCTAAATGCCCCTAATTTGGGCCCATACTTATTTCAGCAATCGACAAAATTTTCAATAGCCACCAAAAATATCAATTAGTACCGTCCCAATTACGCGTTCATTTAGATAAAATTTATAAATAGCAGATTTTTTAGCGATGGGCCCAATCTTAGATCCATAGGCCAAAATTAGAGCCATTTCCCTGCCACGTGAACAGAAAATGATTTTTGCCCACTCTCACTCCGTGGACCTACGTGGTCCACATTAGTTCGAAACCTTCCTCCGTCCCCTGATCCTCACGAAGACTTTCTTTTTTTCTATCCCATAAAAGATTCGTATCGTGCTGCACTTTCGTTATCAGCTTTTTGTGTATCTACGCTTAATTGATCAAAAATAAACAAAATTCTAAAATCAAAATACCCGAATTAATCCACTTATAATGAGAACAGATAATTCTTACAAAATTAAATTCTGACAAAAGTTCCCGAATGACTCTTAACCCGTAAAAACCCGGGACAAACTTTTTATTTTCAAAAATTTGTACCCGGAGGTAAGTAAGCTGAAGGATGTCTCGCTGGATACGCCCAAGACTGGACCGGCGGTAGCTGGTGGCCGTGAATGGTTCCTGGGGAAAGCACTAGATGCGAACCTCCTCCCAGATCACCATGGCAATACAGGAAGTATCACAACAAAGGTAATTGCTATTAGATATTTTGCAAACAGTGACAGATAGCGGACATGAAGAACCAGTGGAGGTGCCGGGCAAAGGTGTTTATCCTAGACAAATGGTAAGTTACAAATTCTCTGTTGTCGTTGTCGTAGGCGCCGTCGTAGTCGTAGGCAGCAGGCATGTCTAAACGCAACACTACACTGCGTACTGCCTTTTTTACACACCACCAAGAGCATTGAGTTGTACGCTCCGTACCAGTGCTCGATAGAAAACACCAAAAGCAGCAAACAAGGCACTGGTACCAGTGCCCGTGCATAATTGTTTGCACCGGTGTATGGATCTTCGGCAAGCACCAAAGCCGAGTGTTTCTGACTTCGGGAAACACCGCAGCCGAGTGTTTTCGATTTCGGAAAACACGCTTGCTGCTCGCAGGAATTTTCTTTGGGGGACTTATGAAAGATTATGGTGTTACACAAGGTAGCAATTAAATGCGTCTAGAGCTGATAGACAAGTGGTCGAAACACTGGTCTCATAAATCCAATGTCCATGGATCGATTCCGATCTGTCACTCTCCAGTTTTTTCTGTCAACATTATTTTCAAAATGTAATCTATAAAATTCATTTCGATTTCTTTTTTGGCGTAATGCAATCTTATGAATCTTATGAGCTCAAAAGATCATCTACAAGGATTTTTAAAAATACGCAAATCACCCACTTCGAAAGAGCGTGTTTTTGTTGCCGTCCACCCACTGGTATTTCTTGGCTTTATGTTAACTTATTGAGCTGATTGTTTTCACACGATTTGAGTCAATCTAATAACGATAACTTATATCCAATAACAACAAAACAGCTACCATGGCTGATATGGAGCTAGTAGAAGGTAGAATGCGATCCTTCTTGCGCGCATTTTAATTTAGGGGGAAACAGCCCAAAATGTACCTCGCGCAAATCGCTCGCTGCGATTTTTCCTAGCATTCCCGTTTTTAATTCATAAATTGGACAAGTTACAGTGCTAGGTTAGTACTTTACTTAGGATTTCGGCAAAATTACCAGTGGAATAGCTAGGAAAAATCAAAACGGGCGTTTGGCCCGGGGTTCATTACGGGCTGTTCTACCCTACATGAATGGTGAGTAGTTCTGTTCACCCACCGCTATTTGGGTGTTTACATCTGTGCTGGTATGCTGATGCTAGTGAACTAAAGCTGTACTTATAAATAGTCAGCATAATGTAAACAGGACGTCAGCATCTACCAGCATGAGATGTCAGGAGCCTCTGAAATTCGTGCTAGTTAGTTGAGTTGGTTGAGCTAGTGAACCAGCATATAATATATTATTTATTATCTAATAGTGAACCAGCATGTAATATATTACATATTATGTAAACACCCCATATATCTCTACTATTATTCAATCAGTTGAGCTGTTTGGTTTGGTTGAAGATAAGTTATGATTATTATATTGACTCTGATCAAATTAAATCAATCAGCTAAATTATTTGATGTAAAGCCAAGAAATACCAGTGGGTGGACGGCAACAGCAACACGCTCTTCCGAAGTGGGTGATTTGTGTATTTTTAATAATCCTGGTAGTTGATCCCTTGAGCTCATAAGCTTTATAATATTGCGTAATGCTTTTTAGCCAAAAGAAATCGAAATGAATTTCATAGATTTATCTCATGACAATAATATTGACAAAAAAGACTGGAAGGTACAGACTGCAATCGACCTGTTAAAGATATTATGAAAATGTTGCTTTGACCACTCGTATATCAGCTTTAGTCGAGACAGAAGATGCTAAAGGCGCATAGGAGCTACGATACGGTCCACTTTTCTGAAGTAGCCCAAAGAGAATTTCTACGAGCAGCAAGTGTTTTTTTCCGAAATCGAAAACACTCGGCTGCGGTGTTTCCCGAAGTCAGAAACACTCGGCTTTGGTGCTTGCCGAAGATCCATACACCGGTGCAAAAAATTATGCACGGGCACCGGTACCGGTGCCTTGTTCGCTGCATTTGGTGTTTTCTATCGAGCACTAGTACGGAGCGTAAAACTCAATGCTCTTGGTGGTGTGTTTGTAGGCAAAACTGCCACCCGTGCAAAAGGGTTCAGTGTTTTTACCATGGCTGGTAGGCAGTATCGTTGGTATATTTAAAATTAAACATCAACCGCTGAAAATATGAATTATCGCGTATTTCTGTTGTTCATTACATTCCAAGTGAAATTCGAGAACGTAATTTTATTTGAATAGCTTGTTTAACCAGGTCTTAAACAATCGTCACGTCGGTCATAGCTTGTTATGATTGTCTGAACCATGCGTAAAGAGAAAATCGAAACATTGAACGTCGCGTGAAAGTGGATCTTAATAAAGGCATAAGTACTCTTTCGTAGCTTTTAGTTTTAGGATTTCAAAGATCGTCGGTTGCAGTGGCTTGCTTACTGAGGAGAAAGACGCGGTCCCAGATCCTTTCATATTAAAAATATTAAAATATCGCTTGTTTATCGTGTATTTTGTAAAACTTTTCGTTGTCGTCGGTGCCGGGTTTGAATAGTTATAAAAACTTGAGTAACGCTATAATGTGATATGAGAGGCTCGGTGGCCTTAGAGCAACCGTTTTTGCTTACTGAACAGAACATCATGAGTCTAGTCTCAGGCCCATCCACATTCAAGATTCGTCAATGATTAAAAAGGAGCTCTAGCTCTAGTCAGTTTTTGCTTACTGAGCAGAGGACCGTGGGTTCAATCCCAAGCTTCTTCGCGTTATACGATCGTTAGGACATCAATTCAGCTTATCGTTTACCAAAACGAACCCTGCTGCTAACCCAACCCTCTTACCCAACATCCCTGTGATTCCTCGTGGAAGTGCAGAGGACTCCTCACCTTCTATCAAAGCGAGTGTCACGTCAACACATTCCTACCCATTCCTTTCTTGACCTGCGTTCAGGCGCGGCTGGCGCTGGTATTGCCTAATTCGAGATCACCAGCTTTTACACATTGAGGATGATTGCTAGTCCCAAGCATCGTCTATTGGTTCTCTGTGTAATTACAGCTGGTCTGGCAATAACAGAGTAGCAACCGTGGGCGGTCAATCATGCTCATGCTCATGCTCAAAAATTTGTACCCGGAGGTGCCATGGCCGATTGAATTGATTTTTTTAACAACATTCCGGTGAGTGGTTCTTACATTAGTAGGGCGGTTTTGGCCCCAGCCCCTCCTTCTTTGTTATATATTCAAAAATATGTTGGTACTGGGGCGTTTTTTCAATCTTTATCAAATATCTTACTTACCATTGCGAGAACATATTATTTTTTATCGTGGAACTCCAGGAAATGATAGAGAA